CCCCTGGTATTTCTGGCCACTGTGTGACACAGAGTGTTGGACTGGATGGGCCTTTGGCCTGATCCAACACTGGCGTCTCTTATGTTCTTATTAGAGGGAATTAGATAAGCATATGGAGCAGAGGTCCATCAGTGGCTATTAGCCACAAGGTATATATAGGGGCTCTGGGGCAAGGGACCTTCTTGGTGCTTGGGGGGGGGCAACAGTGGGAGGGCTTCTAATGTCCTGGCCCCACTGGTGGACCTCCTGATGGCACCTGGTGTTTCTGGCCACTGTGTGACCCAGAGTGTTGGACTGGATGGGCCTTTGGCCTGATCCAACATTGGCATCTCTTATGTTCTTATGTTAAAGCCGAAGAGCCAGCGCTGTCCGAAGACGTTTCCTTGGTCATGTGGCCGGCACGACTAAACACCAAGGCGCACGGAACGCTGTTCCCTTCCCACTGAAGTGGTACCTCTTTATCTACTTGCAATGTCTTGCTTTCGAACTGCTAGGTTGCAGCAATACAAAAATTTATTCATAGGATAACACAATACACTGTACAAACTAAGACAAGCTTGGGCTACATGAAGTTCTTTTCACCCTTTTCCCAACTTTGTGGTGCCCCCTTTGGCCCTGGTGCCCTAAACACTGCTCAATCTGCCCGACTGCACCTGTCCCTTTGAATGTGTGTGGGGGGGAGCTGCTGTAAGGCAGTGCAGTTCCTTCTCTGCCAGGGGCACAGCTGGACCCTGCAGCCTGGTTCTCTAGTCTATAGCTCGCCCGCCCTTCCTGCAAGCAGTTCAGGGGAGGGGTTCCTGGTGGGAGGGGTTCTGAGGAAGTGTGCCTGCGCAGGAAAGTTTATACCTTCAATAAAACTTTTGGTTGGTCTTAAAGGTGCCACTAGACTCAAACTTTGTTCTATGTTTACCATTTGTTTGGGTTCAATTGGGGGGGACGGGACAGTGAAGGAAATAAATATGTCAGACTTGGAGATTGATGGGCAGATGATCCTTAAGTGTGGAATGCCGGACCCTGCATTACACTCCATCCATCTCCTCTCAAGCATAGAGGCGATCTTACAGCCTTTTTTTCTTTGATTGTGGAATGCTGAGAGTAATTAATTGAGACCCTGCCATCTGGTCTCCTCTCAAGCATGGAGACAACTTTACAGCATCTTCTTTGAAGGGGGCAATTGGCTGTGCAGATTTATCTCTCCGGTCCCCAGAACAGAGAGGTAATTCCAGTTTCTACTGTTCATTACATTACATTACACTCTTCTATTATTCCAAATAAGAGATAAAATAAAATCCACTTCTAGGGGATTGGTGGGAATACAGATGTAAGGGCTGAATGTGGTTAGCTTATGTAGTGAGATAAGAAACCAATATCCCTGTTAAGTCCTGGGTAGTCCATTGTTCTGAGTGTTGTAATAACTTGCAGCTCAGCAATTTCCATTTCTAGTCTGTTTCTGAAGTTCCTTTGCAATAAAACAGCTACTCTGAGGTCACCCATTGGATGTCCCGGAAGGTTGAAGCGTTCTCCTACAGGTTTCTCAGTCTTGTGATTCTTGGCGTCAGATTTGTCTCCATTTCTCCTTTGGCATGTCCTGTTTGCCCTGTGTAGAGAACCAGAGGGCACTGTTGGCCTTTAATGGCCTATACAATGTTAAAAGATGAACGGAAGTTGATCACAATCTGAAACTTTATATGGCGCCATTATACATATGGATTAGAAGGCTTCAAGATCTGTGATCTTCAGCCTTCCCAGGCGAGTGATGCACTGAGCCGCAAGCACACATGACATGTTACCTCTGAGTCACATGACAGGAAGAGCTGGAAGTTTGCCAGGGCTGCAAGCAGCACTGTGGGCGCTTTCACACCCACTAAATAACATCCTTTCAATCCACTTTCAGTACACTTTGCAACCAATGTTCCCTCTAAGCTGTGGAGTCCTGTGAGCCAAAATTCTACTTGGTGAGCTGCAGGCATTAAAGTTGTGAGCAAGCAATTAGGCTACTGCATAAATCAGTTTGCTCTGGAGCCACATCCTTCCTGAGCAAACACAAAAATGTGTGAGCTGGAGGCTAAAAAGCTGTGAGCTAACTCACACTAACTCACCTTAGAGGGAACACTGTTTGCAACTGGAGTCTGCTGTGTGAAATGGCAAAATCCACTTGCCTGGTCCTTCCCTTGTGTGTGTGGGGGGGAGGGAGCTTTCCGGGAGTGGGGGTGGGGACGTCACGTGGCAACGCTGTTCTTTGGGCAAACTCTATGGTAAGATTGGGCTCAAACCATAGAGTTTTGCTCAAAAACCAGAGTGTTGCTGTGTGACGTCCCCGGCGCAATGACGTCACTTCTGTCATGCAGGGTCATGGCTGTTGGGGGTGGGCATTCCCCCGCTGGCCAGCTGCTCCCACCAGGGGGACTGGCAGCCCTAAAATTTGAAACTCCTTCATGTAGCATGTGTGAAAAGGTAAGACAGCCAAGGGCAGAAGACTAGCTGAGCACCAGAAGGTGAACTTTTTAAAAAAAAAATTATATTTAGAGCTTGCCTTCCTCTCTGAGTCTCCAGGTGGACTATGACGCAATCAAATGGCACGAGTCACCCAATAAACAATGCAAGAGGATTAGCATTATGAAAATTAGAAACCGTGCAAAGAGATCACTAATAATCCCAAAACAGAATTAAAGGTAGAAAACAGTGTAGTAAGAGCAAGAAATTGCAAGTAGGTAAATAGGTACCACTTCGGTGGGAAGGTGACTGCGTTCCATGTGTTTCGGCGTCTAGTCATGCCGGCCACATAATGACCACGGAGAAGTCTTCGGAAAGGGCTGGCTCTTCGGTTTGGAAACTGAGATGAGCACCGCCCCCTAGAGTTGGCTTCGACTGGCTTTTGAGCAAGGGAGACTTTTACCTTTTACTGAACCATCCCATTATACAAAGTTTGCGTCCAGCTGCACCTTTAAGACCAACAAAGTTTTATCCTGGGGCATAAGCTTTAGCGTGCACTGCTCTCTGGCCAAGCAGGGGGACTCCACAGTCCTCCTGAGGGTCCTCACCCGAGGCAGATAGACCACTGAGCGTGATGAATCTGTTTATGTATATAATGAGGGGGAGACAGCAGCATCCCCTGCCTTTCACAGATCTGGTGTGAGGGAAGAAATGCTACAGCTGAAAAAAGGACTCTTGGCAGGAGAGCAAATCCCGGACCTGTTTGAACACCGACACCAATTACAATTAGGATAATTACAGAATTGAATAGTAAGATTGAGTTTCTAGACACTCTAAATGACTGTGCTATGGAGCAGATGGTCACGGAACCTACCAGGGGAGAGGCGAACCTTGATTTGGTCCTAAGTAACACTCAAGACCTGGTGAGAGATGTAAAAGTGATT